TAATTACTTAAGTTAATACTACGTGTACGTACTACTATTTCGTTTTAGTTTTTACTTTACTTACTATATATTACTTCTTAACTTAACTTACTCTCTCTCTCTCCTCCTCTCTCTCTCTCTCTATATATATATATCTATATACTATATATATATATATATATATATATATATAAGTGGCAGAATTCGAACTTCGAATGTAGTATCACTATTTACAACACCTTAACCGACAAGTTTTAGTGAGTGTGGTGAAGTTGGATTGATGGATTTCTATCTTTCTTGGTTTATTTTTTATTTTCTGATAGCAAAAAAGATATTGTTTGGAAGGAGACACCAGCAAAAGCTGAAGACACGAAGCAACCGAAATGGGAAATTGCACATCCTTTCAACTGCTTTCAACAACTAAATGGGTATTTCCTCTTAAAGAGACAGCAAAATTTCCTATTTGTTTGTCGGGCTTTAGCAAAAGTAATCAGCATGTAACAAACAAGGTTACTGACATGGATATAAAACTATGACTACATATATGTGCGTACTGACATGCAAATTTATTATCAATTGATCACACCACAAAATAGTTATGAAATTTATCCAATATATTGTTTGGCTTGGACGGTTCTTTGCCCAGCATGTTATTAGGTTTAAATAATCCTTGCATCTTCCCTCATTATCTTCACATCTGCATGAAGCTCAATCATTCATATAGCACACTAAACATTTACATCTCCACTTCATGTAGGTTGGGTTTTTCTTCTTTCCATGCTGTCCAGTTGTGATTTTTCTCATTTCCATATTGCTTAGGTGTGATTTGCCCCATTTCAACATCGAAAATACCACTAAATTCTCTTGGATCAATTGATTGAAGTCCAAATCTTCAATCTCATCCTCGTTGGCCATCATAAGAAGTGAAAAAAAAACCCAATGGGAGATGAATCAATGAAATGCTGAAGCCTTTAGGTGTTTTCTTGTTTTACACACGATAGAGAGATGATCATTCTAATATAGTAATATTTATCCTTGCATAACAAATAAGCTTACTAACACGCATATAAAACCATGATTACAGATACGTGCATGTTGGCATGCAAATTTATTATCAATTTATCACACCCACAAACAACTATGAAATTTGCCCAATATATTGTCAGATTTAAACAATTCATTACCCAGCATGTTATTAGGCTTGACCAGTCCTCACATCTTTCCTAATCATCTTCACATGTGCAAGAAGCTCAACCGTTCACATAGCATTACATACCTTCACATCTCATCTTCATGTAGGTTGGGTTGTTCTCATTTCCTTGTTGTTCAGTTGTGATATTTCTCATTTCCATATTACTTCGGTGTGCTTGCCCCATTTCAACATCAAAAATACCACCAAATCCTCTAGGATCAAAAGATCAAAGTTCAGATCTTCAATCTCATCTTCATTCACCATTAGAAGAATTGACAAAATTCTCGTCTTCTACTCTTGTTAGCGAACTAATAGGATCAATTTGATCCAAGACCTAACCAAGCATGGATTGTTCTCTTAAGAAAAATTAAAAACTTTGGACCACTAGGGATTTTGGCAGAAACATTCTATTGATATAGATCTCTACATGATGTGCCCAGTCCTGAGCAAAAGAATGGAAAAGGAAAAGGGTGGACTGATGGGATTTGGGATTTTTCTCCTTACAAAGAAGGAATAAAAAGGATGGGAAATAACTCACTAAAAATAAGCATTGGGAGAGAAATCAATGAAAAGCTAAAGCCTTTGGATGTGAGATAGAAGACCGCAAGTCGTATGAGAGAGAGATGGCATTCTCTATTTAAAATGTTGGATGATGGGTTACTTAACCCACCGATTTGGTTGACCATGGTTAACTAACATTGTCATTCATTAATTACTTTTGGATAAGATCCTGGTTTATTCTTGGCACACCCATCTCTTTTTTTTAGTATTTATGCCCTCCTTTTGTTTAATCTTGGCATGCTTGTCTTTATCCAGTATTAATGCCGTCATTGTAATTTAGTAATTTGCCACTATGGAAGAAACTAACTCTACATTGTCAAATTTTATTGCCAAATTTTATTGTCAAATTTTAGTAGTGTTGACTTACAACTATTATAACACCAAACTTTGTATAGTCTCTCTAAATGCATTGGGACATAAGTGAGTTCTTACTGAAAATAGCATTATCTTTCGATTTGTACTAATCCTCATTCCTAACCGATGCATTCTTGACATATGTGATATTTTTCTCATAATAACATTGATTGTTTACTAAAATAGTCTAGCTATTCTACTTATTTATGTTAGGACATTCAAACTTTGTCTGTTTTTCTTAATGCATTTTGGAGATGCCCGAATTTTTACTTAACATTGATTTGGGGGAAAATATCTTTTAAATAATTGATCCACAACTCCCTAAAAATTTTGTTAAAAATGTTCGAATGCCCGTCTACTAGGTTTGTAACATCAAAAAAGCATGGTCATTTTTAAGTAAATGGCATTTTTAAGTAAATGATGCATTTTCTATGAGGCCTAGGCTTTAAGAAAACAAAGTAAAGCCTCATCTCGAATCCTTGTCCATAGGGCATAGGAAATCTCCACAATGGCTCTAAAATCAATTTTCAATACCGATTATAAAATTAGGGGCTCAAAAAATGGTACAGATCTTACGAATTTGTGAATGCTTATTTTTAGAGAAAAAGGGATGATCTAAATAATGTGTTACAATATACACTATTTTTTGGCTTGAAATCCTAATTTTTTCACAGCCATAATGGTCAAGGTCGAAATTATGGATTTTAATTTTTTTTCAACATGATAACTGCAATTTTTGAAGAGTTTTGAGGTGAGGCTTTACTTAAGTTGATAGGGCTATGGTCCTATCAAAGCATTTTATTTTAGTAAAATGATATTTTGGCATGAAAACAAAATTTCTTTGTTAGAAAATATCATTTATATGGTCTTTCAGACACGAAATAAAGTCAATAGCTCCAAATAAAACAGGTTGGTATTGCAAAACAGACCTTTTTTATTATAAAGACACGGTCGGTGTTGGACATCGCCGATTGGGTTGAAATGAGAAAAGAGAGAAAGGTGCAGTCGATGCTAGGCTTCACTGACTTTATTAGATAGAGAAGAGAGAGAAGATAAAATTGGTGTTCAGTTTCATCAATTGTATTAGACAAAAAAAGAGAGAAAAAGCAGTCAGTGCTAGGCTTTCCCGACTATATTAGACAGGGAAGAGAGAGAAGATACAGTGGGCATTAGGCTTCGTTGATTGTACCAAAAGAAGAGAGAGATAGAGATGAGAAAGAGGAGAGAATGAGAGATAGAGATGAGAAAGAGGAAAGCGAAAGAGGGATAGAGATGAAAAAGAGCAGAGAGAAAGTGAGATAGAGTGAGTTGGAGGAGAGAGAAAGGGAGAGATAAATAAGAGCAAGATGAGAGAGAAAGGGGGAGATAGAGATGAGAAGAAGAGAGAGAAATGAGGAAAGAGAGGAGGAGAGAGAAAATTACCTTACAGAGGGTATCGATCCTTTTCTTCTCTCTCCTCTCTCTCTCAGAGACGCACCACGAGCTTAAGCAAAAACGAACTCTTGATTAAATCCTTAAGAATGAACCCAAGGCTGTTTTACAATTTGGCTTTGCATTCTTATATAGAATAGGGCCCAAACATGGGTGGACACCAAAAACTACCTAGAATTGAAGATAATTACAATTTAATTAAATTGAAATAAATTCTAAAAATGGGTGCAAAAGGACTGTTTTGCCCCTGCCTAATAACTTGTGGAATTCTAGAACAGTCCCTACTGTTGCTCGAGAACTTGCATGATCTTTCATGATTGATTCGAGGTTGTTCTGATGCCCATTTGATCGAAAGATGATTATTTTCTTGTAGGGCTCAGCTTGGCGATCGATTTGATACCAATTTTGAGCCATGAATCATGTCTTTAAGCCACTATCATGAGACTTGAAACTTGTTTGAATCTTGAAAACTTCGGATCGATAATGTGCTCATTCCTTGATGTTTTTAGTCTATTTCTTCAGTGAATCACACTAAACATGCCATCACGATCACGTTGAAACAAGCGCGACTCGATTTCGTGTTCGGATGAAGATTTTGTTGTCTTGAGTGTTTTGCCGGAATCTTGAAATTCAGTGGCTGGAATTTATCGCAGCTCTGATGCCTCCGTATGTGAAATCCAACTATTCATCGTACATGAGGTTTGGACCAGAGATAGCCACAGACCTCACGCACATAATGCAATTGGTTTCATGTCGATTGGGTAAGTGAGTGTCGTGAATTGGCTGCCAAAGTGCGGCACGCTGCTGCTGAATTTTTTGCAACTTTTCTTCACGGATCAATAACTTTCCTCTAGTTTTTCTCCCTACTGAGGCATCGTCATGGGGCGTACCACATATTGAATCACTCGTTTTGATGAGACGAACACACTCACAAATTTTGATCACTGTCTGACTTTAAATGTGTGAGATCTGAGCCTCGAAAGTTACTGTCCATGACTGTAAAAACAGCCACTTTTAATGGTGTTGTGGTGTAAGGTGACCACACGGGAATAGTTTGCGGCCCACCCCTTTTCGGTATTTTACCCATAACTTTGTCTTGGAGTGCTCGATTAAGTAGAAACTTGACTCATAGGGGTTTTTCACCGTGCCATATCCAATGGTAGTGGTCCCAAAACAATTTAATGCACCAAAATTATAGTTCTAGTTATGGGGTCCACTTCAAGGTATTAGAGGCCAATTTTTCTGAAATTGTTTCTTTGTGTTCATTGCCGTAGACATGTCTGATCATGATGAAACTTGGAAAAATGGATTTTTGGAGTACTGATGAAGATATTGACCATTTCTAGAGCCACTCTGAGATTGTCGAAATTTCTATTATTTTGTAGGCTTTGTTGACCTGCTTCCTCTTTATTCCACATCAGGGACCAAGGTGCTAAAAAATTCATTCAAATAGCTTGCCTCGCCCAATGTTGCACTTCGAGAGAAGCGAGAAGGACAACAATCAAAAAATGTCCTTCGTCTTCTACTTTTTTTCTTCCTAGTCATAGGACCACATGAACACCAAGGAGATTCACGCAATGGTGCAACTAGGATGCTCAAACGTAGGGATGCATTTTTCGTGGGTCTGTTTGTGGAGAAATTAGGGGGAAAAGAGAATTTTTTTTAGGGATCTTATCGAAGATCTCACCCTCATACGGACTATTTGTGATTCTGAAGCTGAGGATTTTGTTTGGACCACGTCAGTCAGAATAAGGCTCGTTTGGCAATTGAGTGCCATGTCGAAGGGCATTATTCCCATTTGGTTTGGGTTTGTGTATATCCTCTAGTGTTGAGCCACCTTTCGAGGATTACGTAAATGATATGCTGAAAGGCCTTGCACCGGCACTGTCT